TGAGACTGAGAATACTCTTCTACCATGGCAGACCCTTATAACTCCTCCAATCTCGACAATAATGGATGGATCAACTTTATGCCACTCCACCCTCATGATTGCCCTTCATTGCTCTCTACTGCTACTTCTTATGCCAACTCATCCAGAAGTACCCCCCTCACTTTCAGTGTTTCTAATCCTCCACACACTTACTCTTCACATAACTTCCTCACTGATAAGAAATCCTCTAATAATCAAACACAGATGCCCTTGTCCATTAATGATCATATCAACGTTTCCTCACCTCCTCTCAAAGAAGCTCTTCCTTTACTAAACAACTTACTAAGCCCTAGAGGGGTCCTAGAAGAGAAACATGGTCATGAGCCCTCAAGCAGCAGCACTATTACTCCAATGGAAGAAGAAACGAGGAACAAAGATCATGCTGTTTATGATGATGGTGATGACAGCGGCGATGATGAGGATAACTTGATTGTAGCCCTACACATAGGCCTCCCAAGTTCTTCTAATTCTGGTAATGTGCAATCTCAGTTTGCAGATCAGGTTCATAATAAGGAAGGACTGATCAGTAGCAGTAATAGTGATGTTGTTTCATCGGGTAACCCTAGTGTGGCTGTGAACAGACTAAACAAGGGTGATCGTTACTGGATTCCCACCCCTTCCCAGATTCTTATTGGCCCAACTCAGTTCTCATGTTCTATTTGCTCCAAAACCTTCAACAGATACAATAACTTGCAGGTTATTTTAATTTATATATTTTTTATACACATATGGCTAGCTTGTTCCATAACAAAGAGAAAGAAATCCATTTACAGATTCTACTATTTTTTTGCCATTTAGTTTTTCCTAATTACATTTTGAAGGTTAATCGGTCTCAGTTAGATTGCCTTTGCAAGTTCAATTGCTTGTGGCTTAAACTATGTGTTGTATGCATGTATCTTTGCTTTTTATTTGTGTACTTGTACCATTTATATTTGAATGTTCACGTTCTTCTTCTGTAAAAGCCCCCTGCGCTCAGAATTTAAAACTTCTGCAGGTTCGATTTAATTATACATTTACACCTAGGAGTAGTGCTTCCAGTACCACTGCTTCTGCTTGTTAACTGATAGCGTAGCAGGACAGCTTCAGTAAAGAAAAAGATGAAGGTGATGGAGAGATCATCGTGTACATCAACTGGTGGCAGCTGGATATGTACTACAATTAACATTAGCAGTAGTTAGACTAAGAACTAAAGACTACCACTGTAGATTAAGAAATAAAGACTACTATTTGTGCTTTTACAGTTTTGGAGATTTAGTGACATCTTTCCTTACTAGGAATGGTAAAGTAAGGAATCATGGTACTAGGGGAAGTAGTTGATCCAATTCACATTCAAAGTCCTTCCTGGTATCAGAGTCGGTATGCTTACATGTTTAGTCTAACAACCACATATATTCTATGTCATCCAGTTAAATTTGTTCATGCGTTAGTGCGAATATAAACGTGAATTATTTCTGTCCCTAAATCAAACTAGTTTCTTGAGCCTGAAAACACACCTACTTCAGAAACTATGAATTTTCTTGGTCAATGGTATTGACACTTAATTCTAGCTTCGTGCACTCCACCCAGTGACCAGTACGAAAAATTACCATTATTCATTTCAAAGTGCAAAAATTTGCCCATTTTATATATATTTCTTCTGCCCCTTTTTTCTCTCATACGCACACATGTGTGGGTGTTTATAGAAGAATAATACCTGTGTTCCCTCTATATATAATCAGTTTTTGGATATAATAGCTTGGCTCACTTTTAGGAAGAAAGAATTTTTACATTAGTCATGTTAATTATAGTTTGGCATATATGCATAACTCATCAAAAATATAAGAATAAAAATTTCCTCGCACACGGCACATGTCAAACTGCGATTGGTATGAATGTAATAATTTCTATTTTAGAGAGAGAGAGAGAGAGAGAGAGAGAGAGAAATATTATCCCTATATTATACATATATATATATATATATATAATGCATATTATTGATGTTTGAAATGTATAGCTTAAGTTGCAGTTATAAGGCTTCAAAAGTTCAAGTTGCATGATGAGGTTACTTGTTTATACATATGAAATTGTATATTGTAAATCTTTTGGCTCTAACATTACTTTTTTTCTTCTTCTTATTTATAGAAGAATAATACTTGTATTCCTTCTATATATATTGTCAGTTTTTGGATATAATAGCTTGGCTCATTTTTAGGAAGTAAGAATTTTTACATTAGTTGTGTTAATTACTGTTTGGCGTACATGCATAACTCAAAAAAATGCAAAAAAAAAAAAAAAAAAAAAAAAAAACTGTGATTGGTATGAATGTAAGAATTTCTATTTTTGAGAGAAGGGGACAAGAATTATCCCTATATTATTCATGCATATTATTGATGTTTGAAATGTATAGCTTAAGTTGCAGTTATAAGGCTTCAAAAGTTCAAGTTGCATGATGAGGTTACTTATTTTTCACATGAAATTATTTACTGTAAATCTTTTGGCTCTAACATTACTTTTTTTTTTCTTTCAATGGAATTAATTAACTGTACAGATGCATATGTGGGGGCATGGCTCTCAATACAGGAAAGGACCAGACTCGCTAAAGAGAACTCAACCCACAGCCATGCTAAGACTCCGTTGCTATTGTTGTGCACCAGGTTGTAAGCACAACATTGACAACCCTAGAGGTGCAAGGCCACTCAAGGACTTCAGAACTCTTCAGGTACATTACAAGAGAAAGCACGGCGTCCGATCCTTCATGTGCAAACGCTGTGGCAAGGCATTTGCTGTGAAAGGTGATTGGAGAACCCATGAGAAAAACTGTGGCAAGATTTGGTACTGCATTTGTGGGTCTGATTTTAAGCAAAAGAGGTCTCTCAAAGACCACATCAAGGCCTTAGGTCGTGGCCATGGATTGTTTGATATTGAGTGTTTCGAAGAAGAAGAAGAACCCGCATCAGAAATTGAACATGATGCCGAGGCTTCAAGATAGTATACTTCGCAACACTAAGATTTATGTGTATCCATGTCTTATCTCTATCTTCAGCTCATATATATACTTATCTCCAAATGTATATTTGTTCCTTATCCTCATGAATGGACATATGGTAACTTGGCTTTGCCTTTCTTATGTGTACCTTTTTTTTTCATGTATTTTAACTAATTAGCAACTTCAACTGTAAACAATACAATTAAGATAGTATAAATGATCGCCACCTAGTACAATGATCTATGATATTCTTATTCCTTACTTGTAAGTTCCAGGGGCAAATCGTCAATTTACTCTTTATTTCCCCATCTCCACAACCAATTTATTTTCCAATCCCTCGCTAGTGTAAATTTAGCAAATGGTGAGTGAAGTAGCATTATGTTGATAATTGTATATGGATTGTGTAGGAGAGGATTATTTGCACAAAGGGATTGCCGGAGAGTGGAGTCACAGGTCTGGAGTGATTGCGTACAAATGGAATGACAAGAACAAAAGACCAAACACTGGAAGTGGGAATTGGAAGAAGAGATGGAGCTGCGATGAAAATGCCACACCTTAGGGGATGGCATGTTTCCTATGAGGATGGCTTCACTTTGTATTAGCAAGAGTGTTGTGCTAGGATAGCACCAAAAACCTTTTGGAACCAACTCAAGCTAGCCCACAGGAAATTTATCAAATGAAAATGCAAGAACAAAATATAAAAGACACAAAGATTTTAACGAGGTTCCTCCACAATCAGTGTAACTGGAGTACGTCCTCGGAGCAGTAGGAGCTCACCCAATAATCCACTATCAACCAAATGGGAGTTTACAAAGTGTTGGCAATCTCACAGCCCAAATAACCCAATACACCCAAAAGCTCTCACACACCAAAGAAACAAATAGAGGAAGAAATATAATGAATAATTTCTTCTCTATACGTATAGCTCAAAGCTATTACAACAACAACTACTTTGGTAGATGATTACTAACCGAATGAAGTAGCAGCTTCTCTTCTCTCTTTGCAGCTCATCTTTTTCTCAGCAGAGCATTGAGCTTTTTCTTCTCTCTATATTCGGCTGCAAAGGCAAACCCCTTCCTTTCTTAAACCAACACCCACGGGTGTTGAAGAGAACCAAAATTCTTTTCCCTTTTTTCCCCCCCAAAACAAGGAAAGGTGTTGTCCACCTTCTTTCTTTATAATTTTTTATAGCCAAAAGTTGTTCGGATTTTTGTCTAGCCGAAAGCATTTGCAAGTTGGCCACTATCCAACAAAGAGTTGAATTTTGCTTCAAATTAATAATTAAAATGTACATTGTTAATATGAAGTTTGTTAAAAAATGGTTCATAAATTTGTAACAATCCGAGTTTCTAACTTTTTTCTTGAATATTAACTTTGCTTTGATGGGTGAAAGTTGATGTGCGGCATTGCTCCGTCAAGGCTTTTGCTCATTGCGGAGGAGTCTGGGCTGTGTTTCAGACCCAGTGTGCGTGGCTGATCATTCTCTTGGAGCTAATGATATCAGCTAGTTGCTCACCAACCAGCTAATCAGACATGAGCCCCTCCTCGGCCGGGCGGATTCCTCTTTTGCTAGCCTACGGGTATTAGAAGCTGTTTCCAGCTGAATTTTAAACATCTAAGTTTGTTTTGTAAACAATGCGGCTAACTTTCTTTAGACGCATTTCATGTATTCAGTATCAGTAAGCTGCTTATTTTGTTCTTTGTTCAATTTGGACAGTTCAGAAACGGTACCTTACATCCCAGTGCTTCTAATCAGTACAATTTGGTTTGTTCTGGTTTCTACTTGTGCAGGACAGTCTCAATTTTTGAAGAAAAACTTATGTATTCCAACTTCCAAGTCACTAATTAGGGAGGAAGCACAACTCATTTCGTATAATAGCAGAGCCCTTTTTTTTTTTTTTTTTGGTGCAGAAGAAACTATAAATTCACTAATTTTGAAGTGCTTATGGAATTTAAATCGAAAAAATAAGCCGATGAAGGCCTACACTGGAAAGGATCGATCAAACGTCGTTTTATTTCATGATCAAAATCTGTATATATTGCAAATGTGCACACAGAACCACATTGACAAAAGGCATCAAATGTAATAAGCTAAAAGGATCCAATAGTTTTAAAGGACTCATGAACATGCTGCAACAAGTCGTGGTCACGGTTCCACTCCGTAATTGGTGCATTGACAAAATGTGCATACAGCTTGTTCTGAGCACAAGTCACTGAAATCAAACTATGAGTAGCAACTCCATCGATCTCATACACGTAGTAAACCTGTCCCTTCTCGTCCTTTCTTTCCTCCGATGTCACATTATCTGCGCTCGCTAGCAAGTCCTGCAAGTTCACATCTGACAGAGCCAAATTGTTCAGCACCACATCCTTCGGTGCTAGTTGCCTAAACCCGGAAAGGAATGTCAAGTACTCTTTCTCTGACTTCTTCTTCGGGTTATAAAATTCGCTATCAGTCCCATTTGTACCTGTTCATCGAGAAAAATATACTAAATATTGAGTTATGAATCACAGTTTGACAATATACATATGAATATATTAAGTGCTATAACATAATTAGCATGTGACGCATATGTCGTAGATGTTGTGAGCATATACGTACGTACCCTTTTCGACTTTTGATACCAAACGCTCTTTCCATCCATCTGGCACATCATAGACATACTCAGCGGAGGCCTTCTTGTCGGAGTTGCCACCAGTAACCGCCATAGTTGGCCGCGCTGGCAGCAGTGCCATAGTAGATTTGGTAAGTTGTTGCTGTGGGGTCCGCTAATGAGGGTGGAGAGGCGGTTAGGATGGCTGCTGCAGCGGCGGTGGCAGTTAGTGTGGTGGTTAAGGTAGTTAGGAGTGGTTTGCAGGGTGGGATGGGGAGGTGGGATTTTGGGGGTAGTGGAGCTGGGGATGGTTTTGGAGATGTGATGGTGGTGTTGGTGGCGGTGGTGGAGGAGAAGGTTGAGGGTGAGAACATGGTAGCCATGGAACTGTTGAGGGGTGTGGTTCTTTCTTTTCTTTGTTATCTTTAATTTGACATTTTTCCTTATCCAAAAAATGTGGTGGTGGGAGAAAGTTCGGATATTAGGCCATTTCCCTGTAGAGGATGTATGGATAAACAAAAGTATTCAAAAAATAAAATGCAGGGATAAACCACAGAAAATGTAACAAAAGTTGATTTTTTTTTTAATTTTTTTTTAACCAAATAATCTTGCATCTCTTTATGTGGAGAATGCACTTATTATTCTTTGCAAATAACGTGTCTTATCGTGTTTACGCCAAAATTTGGTAAGGTTAACAAATAGTGGTTTTTATGAGGTAAGGTGGATTTTAGGGATGGAATCCAGGAGTTTTAGGATTGTTAGCTTTGCATCTGATGTCAATTTGCTTGGTTGATTAAAGTCATACACCGTTATTTTCTTTGTCTAGATACGTCAAATGGGCTCATACTAGAGCATCTATGTTCTTAATAGACTGGATAAATATTTATTTTATTATTATAACTATTCAATTTCTTAACCTTCACTTAATGATCATCCTTACAAAAAACCATTCGAATCATATATCGCTCAATCATCCAAATACATAGAACAAATGAAAGGTTTATTAAAAATATGTTATTTGGTACTCAGAACATCCATTTGTTTCATTCATTTAGATGCGTAAATGAAATCTTATTCAAATCGGTTTTTTTTTTGTAGAAATAATATTTAAATAAAATTTAAAAAATTAAAATTGTTTCGATTTAAAAATTTGTACGATAAAGATATATGGGGGAAATGCATGTATTATCTATATATCTATATATATAGTGAGCATCCTAAAATGGTGAAACATTTAAAATACCATAAATTGCCCTTTAAGAATTTCATAAATTACAATTGAACCAAAAGAAGCTAAAGTATTTAACCATCTTTTTATTTTGAATGAATTTAATATTTAAAATTACGTCCAATAAGACGACAACACGTAAAATGACTTAAACTATGACAACGATATTCATGTAGTATAAGTTATACGCAACTCATTCATCCATCAGGTAATTAAAATGCAAGACTCGGTGACAAGAGATTTACAACTAACGATAACTTTGACGTAATCTACTTATTGCCATGTCACCACCTTCGTTTAGGACATCTATATATATAAAATGAGCACCCTAAAATGGTGAAACATTTAAAATACCATAAATTGCCCTTTAAGAATTTCATAAATTACAATTGAACCAAAAGAAGCTAAAGTATTTAACCATATTTTTATTTTAAATGAATTTAATATTTAAAATTATGTCCAATAAGACGACAACACATAAAATGACTTAAACTATCACAACGATATTCGTGTAGTATAAATTATACGCAACTCATTCATCCATCAAGAAATTAAAATGCAAGACTTGGTGATAAGAGATTTACAACTCACGATAACTTGACGTAATCTACTTATTGCCATGTCACCACCTTCGTTTAGGACATAGGATTTATGCATCTATGCTAAAAATCGGATAAAACTACCAAATTGAGTCCATTGGTTCGGTTTGGTGGATTTTGTTTTATTTCACTAAACTTACTTAATCGAAGTAATTAGATTTAACATCAAAAAAATTGACGGTTTATGATTTAAATTGTTTTGCATGTCTATATCAAATAAAGATTTTTTCTTTTTTAACATTGTGTTAATCTGAGTGCTCTTTTGATTTTATATCAATTCATGAAACACGTCTTATCTTTAAAACTCTAACCTGTCTTTTTTTAATCTCTTTAGTCATACTTAATCGCTAGCTATCCTTCTATAGAAGTTGTAGTAGTTTGAAAAGGAGTTTCGTTGCTCCCATGAACGGCACTGCATCCATTCTACCCAAAATATCAGCTAAATTAATGGCACTCACCACTAGTTCGTGTCAATTTTTATAACATACGTAATTGTTGTCCTTATTTATCTACTTTCAACAATTAAGTAAGAGTTTTGAAGAATAAAAAAGAAGAAAAATTAATTTACAGTACAATATACTATTAGAGTTAGAGTGTCAGATGTAACCACTAGCCATGAAGTTGTGATAGCTTGAAAAGGAAATTCATTACTCACATGAACGACACTACATCCATTCTACCCCAAAAAACAGCTAAATAAAATGGCACTCACCACTAATTCGTGTCAACTTTTGTAACTGAGGTGGTTGTTGTCGTTATTGTATAAAATTCTAAAAGTTTAGCTAGAAACTGATGAATGTAGAAAGAAGAGAAACGTTTAGTCATGGTAATCATGTGTTACATACAAGAGGTGCATGTGAAAAGTAATTAGTTTACTATTAATGTGTGAGGATAACGACTATATATTAAAAATAAAAATAAGAAGAGAAAATTTGAGGACCCAAGTGGATCGATCACTAAATATGTGATTAGGCGTCATAACCAAAATATGTAATTTCTGACAACCTTCCGCATTGTCCGCGACCGGTCAAATTCCATCCTCTTTCCCGTCCACAGGGGCATTCCCGCAATTACAATTCAGAACCAACGGCCAGTTTGTATCGTACACCGGCCGCCACAAAAACCCTAGATACTCACAATTTTGACTTTCCCTCTCACTCCGCTTCTCTTGTCAGAGTCTGAGGATGAATGAAGGATTTAAGGCACGCTGATCGTCGCTCCCAATTCTGCTTCTTCGCCATTTCATTGGTTCCGAAGCTTTTTAGGTTTTCCAATTTCCAATTTTTGTTCCTCAGAAAAGCCCCTTTTGCTTATCTCTCGATTACTTGATCGCCATGTCCAAAAGGTGAGTTCTTTTTCATATGCAAGAGACGAATTTGGATATTGAGTTGGTTGAATCTTCCAATTTATAGATGTTGTGATTTTGCATATTGAATTTGTTATCTTTTTTATTGTGTTCTCTTAGGATTCTTGGAATAGCTGTTTTTAATTTAATTTATAATTTCTTAAAATTGTATGGTTGGTTGATTTCCCTTTGATTAGTTTGCTGGGTAATGTAGGTTAGAGGTCCTCTGTGAATCAATGTTTTTTGTTTGTTTTAATATTTACTGCTATTGTGAATTTCTAACACATTTCAGGCTGGTTTACATTTAAGAAATGGTGGTATGAGATCATTTGTGCTAAATATTGGGACGAGTTTGTAACTTTGAGTCGTTGTATCATTCCAAAATCTGATCTTTTTAAGGATTTGCAATAAAAAGTGATGGAAAAAATCCTTTAGTTCATGTAGTTGAAGCGGCTCTTCGCATGTTTTTTTTAAACCTTACTTGGAGAGTAGGGTAGTATTGGAGATGATTGAATTTGAGAAATTTTCAACGTAATAGCGTGTTTTGCTAATTTCTGTATCCTGACAGTAGCCATATAACAACGAGGATTCATTGGCGGTTGTAGATAATTGAACTACTTGTATTGCCATTTCTGATTACCTCAGGGTTCTCTGCAAGTTTTTTGCACATGGCGCCTGTTTGAAAGGGGAGCATTGTGAGTTTTCACATGATTGGAAGGCTTCACCAAATAATGTAAACTATTTATGCTACTTACTTTAGTTGCATATGCATTAAGTAATAGTGATCAACAATTGTTACGCTCTTAACTTTTCTTTCTGGTCCTTCTTAACAGATATGTACCTTTTATCTGAAAGGAGCTTGTGCATTTGGTAGTAGATGCAGATATGAACATGTCAAAGCTTCTCGGGCTCAGTCTTTCGGTTCGTCTTCATCAACAAATTCTCAGCCATCCCTGGTTATTGATACTGCATCTTTGGTTCTTCCTGCAAGAACGTTAGCAAGTGGAGTTTCTCTTGCGCCACTCTCTCTTTCAGAACTCTCTGCTTCAAGTAGTCCTTTCTTACCTCCCTCAAAACCTGCCTGGAATGGTTCTCTGGATGGTGATTATGATGATGATGAAGGTAGTGTTGGGGAGACTAGGAATACTAGACCAGAAGATCGTGCTATTTGTTCATTTGCTGCAGCTGGTAATTGTCCTCGTGGAGAAAAATGTCCTCATATTCATGGAGATATATGCCCCAGCTGTGGAAAACATTGCTTGCATCCTTACAGACATTTGGAAAGGGAGGAGCATATGAAGATATGTAAGGAAAAGCAGAAGCAACTTGAGGCTTTGAAATGCAGTCAAGAAATAGAATGCAGTGTTTGCCTTGAACGTGTTTTGTCAAAGCCCACAGTTGCTGAGCGGAAGTTTGGGATACTCTCAGAATGTGATCATCCTTTTTGCATATCTTGTATTAGAAATTGGCGCAGTAGTTCCCCAACATCTGGTATGGATGTCAATAGCGCATTGAGAGCTTGTCCAATATGTCGGAAGCTGTCATACTTTGTCATTCCAAGTGTCATTTGGTATAAGTCAAAAGAAGAGAAACAGGAAATTGTTGACAGCTACAAAGCAAGGCTCAGGTAGTTTTCTTTGCAAACGTCTTATTTTCTTTTGAAAGCTGGAATTCAAGTGCCCTGTCTTCTGTCTTGGATATTTTTTACTATTTTTATCTCAGATGTAAAGAAGTTACTCAATTTGAAGGACAGAAATATCAACTGTTTATATTACTATTGTGATTTGAAGTTGGAAGGGGCTTTAGAGTGGGAATTTTGGGATCTCTTTCTCTCTTCCTCATTTTTTTTGTAGTTATAATTATTTTATATTGCAGGTCAATTGATTGCAAGCACTTCGATTTTGGAAATGGGAACTGCCCATTTGGAACTAGTTGTTTTTATAAGGTAACAAGAAGTGCTACATGGAGTTTTTCTGCTGCATTTGTTATTCGCATTGGTTTTTCTGTCATGTTGAGTGCAATTAATCATGTCAACAATCTAATGGTGATTTGGATAAGTATATGATGGTTAGTCTACTTGCTGAATCTGTTAATGTCGCATATGTTGAGCCTCAAACAGAAAATCCTGGACACTGTACCTCTGTTATTATTTATTTGTGTTTGTGGAGTCATGTGGTATATTATGTGATGGATTTTGGCTTAAGCTCCTTGAATTTATTTTTTTATTTTTTATTTTTCTATTTAGGACTTGCTTTATTTTTTTCTTGTCAATTGTTGTTCTGATTGAATGTGGGGCAGATGCCTAATTTGTGGTGTAAGAGTGTAGCTTTTGTAATGTACTTGAGGTTTTGTGTTATAATACACTTTGGTTTGTATTCTTTATGATTAACCAAATATTGAGTTACATAATACACTTAGTTTTCTCTATGAAAACATTATTTCCATGTCACCAACCAAAATTTACATGGCTTGTTGGCTGCAGTTGAAGTGCGTACTTGTTAAGTGGCTGGTAGGTAATGATAAGGTGGTTTATTATTCCATATTAATTTTTTTATAAATTTACGCTTAATGCTTTGGTCGTTTAGGCATTTGCAGTCTGTATTCAAGTGATATGTTTGATTTATCCCATGCTCATGCCCGTGCAACGATAACTAGTAACATTTAGAATCAATGGATTTTTAGTTGTTGAATAATCTTTTTAGACATCTTTAGTTCTCCCAAGGGATTGCAGTGGTGTATGCTTTATAGGATTGTAGTCAAATGGCTTACTCTAGTTTCTTTTTACCCAGCTCAACTAGGTATTGGTTAACACGGGGCTACATTGGATGACAGATTGCTTCAATCTAAAATTAGTGTTTCTAATGAGGACCAATGGGTTCATCATTATCTTTGTTTCTTTTTTGTGCATCTATTATGCATCCGTGGCCTTAAATTTGAATAGTTTCTCGTCTCTGGTTTAGTATCTTTCTTGTGATGATGGTGACACCAGATTGTAGATGGTTTACGAAGCAGTTTTAGTTTATAACATGTTCTTTTTCTAATCATTGCAAGTGGTTTTGCTACTTTAATGGGTTTATAACAGTCTCTCTCTCTCTCTCTCTCTCTCTCTCTCTCTCTCTCTCTCTCTCTCATTCTCTTTGTCTCTCTTTCTGTCTCCCCATCCTGTGTATGTGACTTAGTCTATAATAGAATATTAAAACCTTCTATTGATTTATTAGTTGTAACACCTTAGAATCATGTACCTTTTGTTTTTCATTTTACTTTCCGGAGAGGGTTAGCTTTGTGACACCTTTAATGGATGGAATGTTTGTTGTATTCCAGCATACGGTCAAGCCAGGCTCATATGTATGGAAATTTCACAGGCCACCTCCAAGAAGGCCTCCTCCGAGAAGGCCTCCTCCACGGCAATATGATATTGCGCCTATGGATGTCATATTACATATGTTCGAGCACTTAGAAGAATTGGATGATTATATATTTGAAGATTTAGAAAATGAAGTTTTAAACTCATGGGAGAGGGAGTCATTAATGCAGATGGGTTTGTATACAAGTGACTCGAGTGAAGACGAGATAGATTTATGGCCTTGAGATACTAGATTTAGCCATTTGTATCATCTGAAATTTCCTACTTGGTTTTGCGTTGCTGTGTTATGATTGTGGATTGTATTTAACAACTCCTATTTATGAACGATGTGCAGATTTACCCCCTATTAATGGGGTTAATTTTTGTGAATCTTGGATAGTGTTCATTGGAACAGTGTGATATTTATGCTAACGATACAAAAGTTAACTTTAAATTTGAAGGCTAGTTTACTGAAAAAAAAAAAAGGAAAAGGAAGAACGAAACTGTTCTATGGTTTTGATTTCCATTCATGCTATAATCTTTTAGTTGTAAACTTATCTGACCAGTCACCATGTTGCCCCATTTTGGAGTGTGTTGTCTATAAAATTAGGTGCACATGGCAATTGCTACGGGCAAACAAAGTCTACTTTGTCATGCATTTTGTCTTCCTCATCTAATTTTATCTGCAATGCGGCTTTTATTTTAGGTCTGTCTACTGTCATGTACACTTCCATCTCAAAGTATGTTTGAATCTGCTTTTTACTTTCTCTGCCGGTAGTCTGTTGTGGTGTTTACTGTTATGCTCTGTGTGCTGTTTGCATGCACTATTGTTTACTGTGCTGGTCCAGATCCTTTTTTTTATTTTACAGTAATTGGGTAATGAACTTGGCTGTTGGTCTGACTGCAGCATGCATACCGAGATGGCCGTTTGGAGGAAGTAGCACTGCGTCATATTGGAAATGAAGATGGTCAGACAGTGATAGCCACAAATATTAGGTTTTACTCTGCACCTTTGTTCAATTTCTCCATATACTGTTCTTTTCATACTAAACTATGGTATTTTCCAGGTTGTCAGACTTTCTTGCTGACCTACACATAAGGTGAATAATGCCGTTACAATATTCCAATGTAAGTTTATTCAGTGGTTGGATTCTGGTTCTTTACTTATACTGTTGTCCAGAATGTATTAGTGGGCAGACCTCTAATCTGAAGGTTAAGTTGTCTAGTACAACATACTAAGTGCATAAAATCTTTTTGATTGGCACACCCTGAAACCACATGGTAGGACCGTAGGAGGTCATTAGAGTTGCACATTGATGATTTTCCCTTCATTGATGATTTCAGTGAAAAAGTGCCGTGTGCTTAAATGTGCATGATTTTTTCGCAACAAGAACACATGCGCAGCTCTCATGCTGGTTTTTGCAATTGCAAGTAGGATACTCGAGTGGATTGCAAGGTGTGGTTCAGGAGCTTTAATTTCCTTTTAAGTATAATTTTACCTGCAGTATATATTTCCCTTGAATGATACTGGAGGTATGAATATTTTTTTCTTTCTCATACACTCATTTGAACTTAATTGTCGCTCTTGTGGAACATGAGGCCGAAAACAAACCTTGTACTATCCGATTTCTCTCGTTTTGGCGCACTCGATCATAATTTCAGTCTCACCTCATTACTTCCTACTATTGATTTTTACACTGAACATGGATTTGAAAGCATTGTATGCATATAAGACTGAAACGTAACTACTCTTGGATTCGTCTTTTGCTTGTTAATAAAGGTGAAAGTCAAAATGCAGTGACCAGTATAAACACCTAATATCTAACTTTTTTTTATATTCTTGACGCAGAATTGATTGCAGGATGGCTATCCAGTTGTGGGAGAGAAGACATGCTCGGTTGTCGTAAACTACATGTAACAGAATTCTAAATAAAGTTATTACCGAGCGGAAGAGTGTATGTTGAGGATTTTGACACTTATACAATGTGCCCGTCTGTGACTTGGATGAATGTCTACAGATGAGGATGTCGATTATTTGTGTTAATGATCAGGTTTTATTCGGACGAGTTCCATTGTGGTACTTGTAGTTTCACTTTTAGGAATGGCATCATCAGCCTGCAGGCAGCTGGAGCGAGTATTCCAATTTATCGTTTATTGTTTTATAAGTCCGGTTCGGACCATGCCGGCATTTGCAAATGGGTTTATAAAATACAACATAACGTTAAGGACCCAGCCGGCATCAGAAGTATAGTGACAAGTCTTTGTTTTTATTTTATTCCGGTCGTATGGAATATAACTATGGTCGTAAACGACCCAAGGTATTAGTCGGGCGACGGGTTTTAGTCAGACTAGGTGGATCTTTAATTTTTATGTAACAAAAAATAAATGTCTATTAAAAAATACATAATTTTATTAGAATACATAAATTGAAAAATAGAATGATATAATAGATTATAAAATATTAGAACATATTGAAAACATAAAGAACAAGTATACATATTGAAAACGTGAGGAACAAGTATATAATGAATGTAAATCTTAGTATTTAACAAATCTCTTACAATTTAATTAAAAAATAAATTACAAAATAAAAGTTATCTATCTAATTGAGAATCGTAACCTAAGCAGATCTAAGCGTCCTTTTTTAATTTCATTTTTTGTTGCTTCTCATTTCAACAACCAAATTACTTGATTTGGTGCTCAGGGAGCAAGTACCTTTGAGAGTGCGCTCAATTTCAACTCAAATTGGTAAGAACAACCGTCATGAATTAGTTATTATTTTTTTCCTATTTTATTTCTGTTTTCCTATTAGTTATTATTTTGGTTAATCATAATCTATATATATATATAGATTATGATTAACTTGAAGAACACAAATTCGACTTGGGACGAAGATTAGATGTACGGCTCCAAGCGTCGCACATTTTCGAGAATTAATATGAATTTACGGATTCCTTGCTAAGCAAGATCAAAGTTTAAATAGACCGACGGTTAGGTTGTATAATCGCATAATAAACTAATCAACATTAATATCCGGATGTTCAAATGAACATATGGAAGCTAATTGGCCTGATTGAGGTTGGTTAGGGACTCTAAATTTCTTTCTAGGTAAGTGTTTGTTACTGTTCTACCATTTACTACTACAGTCTAGGAGTATTCTTCTTCACTTGTAAGTGAGATATCTTACGTTCGAGCGATTCTCGCCAATGACAAATTTTAACCATATTATTGCTCCGCCTGGTGCTCTTCCAAAAACCGCATCCAATCCAAACCCCCTATCCCAACGCCCCGCCTCAAAGACCACAACTCCGACACCCCCCACCACCCTCTCGACCCCCTCACCATCCAAGAACTCAACACCGTCCGCACCATCCTCAACTCCCACGTGCTTCACTCCGTCGATCTACAGGAACTCGACAAGTCCCTTGTCCTCGGATGGAAGCACAGCGACCCTCTCTTCCACAGAAAGACCTCTATCATCGCACGTGTCACAGGAAGTCACTGGGGTGAGGGATTGGGATAGGGAAGACAAAGGGGATCTGGAGAATGATGGATGTGCAGAGGTGCGGAGGGATCTGGGGATCTGGGGATTAAGAGCGGAGAGTGAGAGAGAGAGCATAGAGTAAGGGTAAAAGCAGATACGCAGAGGTGCAGAGGGAGACTGGAAGGGGGATCGAGGTGGGGAAGACAAAGGAGACTTGGGGAAATTTATTTTTTTTAACTTTTATTTAATTAATTTTTTTAATAGTTTAATTTTTTTTTAATTTTTTAATGACACGTGACGTTCAGTTATTATCCACTTGGGAGCCACGTTATCAGTTAATGAAAGACTTAACAGCCAGACTAACGGATGTATGAGACTGTCCCAACACTTTAGGTATGACTCTAGGACGAAAAAAACTTCGTATACTAAATGTTGACAATCACAAAATATAAGAGTAGTAAACAGAGTTTAACCCATAGAAAAATAGGGACTTGAACTGATCGTTTGTAACATTTTCCTATTCCTTTCCTATTTTCTCACACCTTCTCGAGGACTCTGTTGGGTTAGTGGCCAAGTGGCCAAAACCACTTTCGGCTAGAAGGAAGAGACACAATGTTTGACCGTCATCTGCAACTGCTCCGTTGTCTCTGTCGTCTCCGTCTACAACTACTGGTGAGAGCTTTCACTTTGTTAATTGTTTCGATGCTTTCCTAATCTTACTGCTCCGTTTTACTGATCATTGAACTATTTGAAGCTTAACTGATTCCCCAAGGCAAAACCGATCTCTAAAACTAAAAGCCCCTTTGGTTTTTCTCATCTCTGAAACTAAAAGCTTTTGCTTTTCTCATCACTGTTTTTAACTTTTTGTATATAATAATAATATTATTGTATTTTGTATATTATAATATAATATTGTGCAAGGGATTGATTCTTATTGTTTATATGTTGGCTATATTACATTTTATCAGGTTTGAAATCTATTGCAACCTCATACAACATCTTCAAAACATTTCACTTTCATACCTCACATACTGTTTTATTTCAATATAATACATTCATTACATTTTTCATCCTTAATCCGTTAAGAGCTGACGTGGCTACCAAATTTTGCCACATGGCAAAAATAATAATTTGTTATTCATTTAAATTATTATAATAATTTATTCTATTAAAAAAATATAAAAAAAACTTGAAACCATCTTCCCTAACCCCTTCTCCCTCTCCTCCACTCTCTTCACCTCCACTTCCATCCAAAAAACCCACCCCTTCCCTGCAACCCAAATCCCCCATCCCATCCCACCCCACCCCCACCTCCCCCGCAACCCCCCATCCCACCCCCAAAACCCCAAAAAACCCAGATTATTTGTATGAAACTTGCAAAAAAAAAAAAAAAAAAATCATCGGAATGACTCTTCTCTGTTGCTTTTTCAGCGATGCTTGGAGAAAAGGCCGACATGGCAGAGTTGTCGATGGCACAGACGGTGATGGTGATGCGGTCATTGATGTCGGCGGCAAGGTGGGTCAGGGTAAGGTAGTGGTTGAAGGTCGAGAACTCAGGGTGCTTCGCGAGGAGGCATGTGATGTTGTGCGCTTCAGTAAGGGTGGTGAGGAGTGTGAGCATGAGGAGGAAGGCGTCGACGGTGGTGGCCTAGCGGAGCTGCATTGTGTGGGTTTTGGATCTAGGGATTTTGGGGGGTTTGGGGTTCGAGAGAAAGAGTAAGGATAATGGAGGAGGGTCGAGGGAATGGGTTTCTGGGTTTTTTTTTTTTTTTTTTTTTTTTTAAGGGTAAATTATTATAATAATTTAAATGAATAAAAAAGATTAGTATTTTTGCCACATGGCAAAATTTAGCAGTCACGTCAACTCTTAACGGAGCAATGGATGAAAAATGTAATGGTTGTATTATATTGAAATAAAATAGTACATGTGGTATGAAAGTGAATGTTTTGAAGATGTTGTATGAGGTTGCAATAGACCCCAAACCTGAATCATCCTTATATGTTTGTTAATTTAGGAAAATGAATCATCCTGATAATCATGGAAATGCTAATGTTAACCCAGTTGAGAATGTTGAAAATGATCATGGTACACTATGGAAGTATGTCAACAAGCTCGAAATAGTGGACAATGGAAGAGGAGGTACTGTACTTCAATGCAACTATTGTCAAAAGATTTTTAGAGGATCCTACTCTAGGGTCAAATTTCATTTGTTAAAAATGTCTGGAAATGGGATCGTCTCTTGCAACAAGATTACTAATGAAGCTCTTGCATAAATGAAAAAGCTAGTTCTACAATGAGAGCCACCTTTTTTTTTTTTTTAAGTCGTTTGGAAGTTTTTTTTTAGTTTTTCAAGTTTGAAGACTAATTTAGTTGTTTAGTGCATTATCTTTTTAAATGTTTGAAGTTTATCGAAATAAATTTGAACTTGAATAGTATATTTGAATGCTTATTTTATAATATTTAGATATATTTATTTATTTATATTATTTTTAATTGTTGTATCGTTGCCGTATCGTGTTTTCGTTTTCAGAAATTTAACATACCCTCATGTTGTGTCGTATTATATCTCTGTATTCGTATTTGTGTCCATGTCCATGCATCATAGCCTTCATTATTTTCTGGTTTCATACCTGTTTGGGAGAGAAAAAACCGTGTGAAGCCTATTTCGGTGGGAAGGTGAGAAAGAGGGCAGAGAGCAACGCAGCAGAGAAAAAAAGAAGAATGGTGCCATAGCTCCCATTTAAAGAGAAGAAGAAAGTGCTCCTCTCTTTAGTTAGTTGCTAAATATGTCAGACGAGAAACTTTTTGGAAGCAACTTCTATGCTCTCTGCGTTGACTACGCCCTCGTTTCCTCCGTCGCCTTGGTCTCTCTCTGGGTTTGGTGGCAATTTGGTCTCCCTCGAAGAAGATCGGAATCGGAGTGTGTCATCTATTGTACCCGTCCCAGACTGACCCATTTATTTTAAGGGAAAACTAATGAAAATGACTTGAAAAACTTTGAGTTTTAACGAAAATGACAAATTAAAAGGTAAAATGAATAGTACTATAATTGACTTTTTAGTATAAAAATATGATTTTTCATTAAAATGAATAGTACCGGAAACTTTTTGTTAAAATTTTCTTCTTTTAAATCCCGATTTGGTCCCGTGCCCAGCTCTAATTGTGACAAGTCTTTGTTTTTAGTTTTATTCATGAAATGATATATGAGTGGTTGGATGACAATGACCAAGCCGGTAGTATTGACATTCTGACAAGTCTTTGTTTTTAGTTTTATTCATGGAATGATGTATGAGTGGTTGGAGGAGAAGGGATAAAGACGAGCAGGAGGAACCATCTTTCACTACGCAAAAGCCTATCTGGTTTACAAGCTTCTACTTTAATTCAATTTCACCTGTGTTTTTTCTTGTCCTGAATACAAGAAATGGCGGAGGGAGTTATTTTCAACGTTGCAGACAGCATCATTGGAAGGCTAGGCTCCCTTGCTTTCCAAGAGATTGGATTGATTTGGGGTGTTCAAGATGAGCTCCAGAAGCTCAAGGAGATAGTTGCCGGATTCCAAGCTGTTCTTCTTGACGCTGAGCAAAAGCAAGTTAACAATGAAGTCAAACTGTGGCTCCAAAGTGTAGAAGATGTCGTTTATGAAGCTGATGACATGCTGGGGGAGTTTAATGCTGAAGCTAAACGAAGACAAATGGTGCTTGAAACAAATAGAGTATCAAATCAGGTACGTCTCTTCTTCTCTAGCTCAAATCAACTTGCTATTGGGCCAAAGATGGGTCATAAGATAAAACATATTAACAAGAGGCTTAGTGCAGTTGCATCTCGTAGGACCTTTCAATTGGAAGTGAATCATGAAGATACACGGTTTATAATTAGAGAGAGGGTCACTCACTCTTTTGTATCTCAGGAAAATATTATAGGGAGAGATGAAGATAAAAGGGCAATTATTCAACTTTTGTTGGATCCAATCATCTCAACTGAGAATGTGTCAACCATTTCCATAGTTGGATTTGGAGGATTGGGGAAAACTGCACTTGCCCAACTCATATTCAACGACGAGGTGGTTCAAAATCATTTTGAGTTGAAAATATGGTCATGTGTCTCTAATGTATTTGAGTTGGATATACTTGTTAAGAAAATACTAAAAGTTGACAAGCTTGATATGGATCAGCTACAAAATGATCTTAGAAAAAAAATAGATGGGAAGAAATACCTACTTGTGTTGGATGATGTGTGGAATGAGAATCGGGAGAAATGGCTAAGCTTGAAGTACTTGTTAATGTGTGGTGGAAAAAGTAGTAGAATACTAATAACCACTCGTAGTGAAACCGTTGCGACAATTTCAGATACAACTAAAGCATACACCTTAAAGGGTTTGAATGAAGAGCAAAGTTGGTCTTTATTTAAGAAAATGACTTTTAAAGATGGAAAAGAGCCAGAGAATTCAACAGTTAAGGCAGTTGGGAAGGAGGTTGCAAGAAAATGTCAGGGAGTCCCACTCGCTATAAGGACGATATGTGGGATGTTGTGCACCAAGCATCACGAATCAGAATGGTTGAATTTCAAGGATAAGAAACTTTCAAAATTAAGTCAAGAAGAAAATGATATTTTACCAACACTTAAACTAAGTCATGATGTGCTCCCATCACATTTGAAGCATTGTTTTGCTTATTGTAGCTTGTTTCCACTTGGTTATGAGATCTCTGTACCGAGACTGATTCAACTTTGGGTGGCACAAGGGTTCATTAAGTCATCTGACGAAAATGAGTGTTTGGAGGATGTTGCATATGAATACTACAAGGAATTGCTACGGAAATCTTTTTTTGAAGACGAAGAAAAATATGAGTTTGGTTTAATAAGAAGCTGTAAAATGCATGATCTCATGAATGAATTTGCCATCTTAGTGTCAGGGATCAGAAGCACTGTAGTTGATTTGAATCGAGAGAATTTTCATGAAAAGCTTCATCATGTATCTTTCAATTTTAATGTTGATTTGTCATATTGGAAAGTGCCAACTTCCTTGCTAAATGCAAATAAGATACGAACTTTGCTTTTTCATCGCCAAGAATATTTGATCAAGGAATATTTTCCTCGTGATGAATATCGGATCAAGGAGTCATTATGTAATTCATTTTGTACTAAAATTGCTTCAAATTTTAAGTCATTACGTATGTTGAGTCTCAAGAAATTTGGAATTACAACATTACTTAAGTGTCTTAGGAAAATGAAACATTTGAGATATCTTGATCTTAGTGATAATCCCATCGAGAGACTTCCAGATTGGATAGTTGGACTTCAAAATTTGGAAACACTAGATCTCTCCGGCTGTGAGAATCTTGTGGAACTACCCAAAGGCATTAAGAAGATGATCAACTTGAGGCATTTCGACTTGACAGGCTGTATTAAATTGACTCAAATTCCACGTGGATTAGGTGAAATGACTGATCTTCGTACATTGGGTAGATTTGCTTTGAGCAAAAACAATTCCGTGTTGAGAGACAGTGCTGGCCTTGGTGAACTGGGGAGCCTTAATGAATTAAGAGGACAGCTATCTGTTAGAAATTTGAGGCACGGTGAAGATGTGATGTCAGAATCAAATGGTGGTGCACCTCTGAAGGAGAAACAACACCTCTGTTCGTTGGGTTTGTTCTGGATACGTGGAGACAACTTAAACGCAGTTGATGAGAAGGATATTACCATGTCCATGGAGATATTGCAACCCCACTCAAATCTAAAGCAGCTGTCCGTGCGGTTTTATGGTGGTGTGAGGTTTGCGAGTTGGTTTTCTTCTCTCATAAATATTGTTAATCTCACATTGGTTAAATGTATGAGATGCCAACATCTTCCACCCTTGGATCATTTGCCTTCCCTTAAGTTTCTTCAACTTTCACAGTTGATACAGTTGGAGTACATATCAGACAATGAGAGCAGTAATAGTATGAGTGATGAGATGATGAAGATTTCATTCTTTCCCTCTCTGGAGAAGCTCTGGGTAGAAGATTGCCCTTCTCTGAAGGGATGGTGGAAGGCGCACACTCATAACAATGCTTCTTCTTCATCAAAGGAAAACCTGTCGTTCCTGCTCCCTTCGTTTCCTTGTCTTTCTAGCTTGACCATCAGGAAGTGTCGTAATCTAAATTCGATGCCTCTGTATCCAAATGTGGATAGAATACATCTCGATAGGACCAGCTCGAATGTTCTTCCTTCCTTGTTTGTTAGAGGAGCATCTGATATTACACATGATGTTGGTGTTGGTGTTTCTTCCTCTTCTTCTTCCCCTCATCTCCCCAAAGTAACACATATGTCACTTCATGAAGTTAAGGATTTGGAATGTATAATGTCGGAAGGGATCTGCAACCTCACATCACTCCAATCGCTTTCAATTGGAAACAGCTCAAAATTGGCATCATTACCAGAAGAACTTAGCAATCTCACATCACTCCAATTGCTTTCCATTGGAGAATGCCCAAATTTGGCATCACTGCCGGAAGGGATTTGTCGACTCCCCTGTTTAAATAGATTGCTAATTCAGTATTGCCCCATGTTAAGCGAAAGATGCAAGAAAGAAACAGGTGAGGACTGGCCTAAGATTGCTCACATCCCATCCATTGAAATTGATATATCTTAAGGTGCGTTTTCTAACTTATTTCAATTTACAGTTGCCTAGTTCAATAAAACTATGAAATATTCAAATGCCATTCTCGTTTCTTAATTTTATTCTTCATTCATCATCACCAACAATTTATTTTTGTTTTCAGATGACAAACCATGTGGACCAAAGATTTTGTCCACACTTTTGCTTTCTCATTGAGCAACACTAGTTCCACGCAAAGCGTATGCATTCCTTACCCACTGACTTTTAAATTTCTTTTTTAATTTCTCTTTAATTTACTTCTTATCAATAATATAGTCTTATCTCTTCATATTACATATAATTTCGACCCAAAAAAATGAATCATAATTTTGACCCAATAATAGGTTCTTCATCATCATCTTTTATCTGCTTTCTGCTTCATCTCATCTAAATTCATAATTTTGTTCCAAAAAACAAATCTAAATTAATCAACTTATGTGGATGGATTTGATGAATTTGGTTCCTCTGTTTTTCCTGGTATAAATAGGGTGTCATCTAGCACTTTTTCTGATATAGTGTTCTGAAGACTATGGCGGAGAAAGTACTATGATGGCCCATGGCAGATAAATTGACTCGAGAACGATCTTCAAAAGTTGTGCTTACTTTTACATTTCTTTTTTTCACTGTTTTCTAAATACGCATTGAACTCTCCCTACTTGTCAACTTGAGGTACTACTGTGACAATTTAATTTTCTAGACCACTGGTCCACTACTATTAGTCTATTACTAAGGAAGATGATCATTAAATACCAAGCAACCGGCAAGATGACAATTTGTCCGTACTTCCTTCAGTACAATTATTATTATGGATTAGGTTTAAGTTTTGCTTCTTAATTTACTTTTTAATTTTTAATTTTTCAAACTTTTTAATATGGCTTCAAATTTTTATGTTTTTGGTTTTGCTTCTTAATCTACTTTCATGGATATGCAGCACTGATTCAAAGAAGAAACAGATGGAATGAAGATGAAGGAAGCCAATTATCATACAGCTTTTGCTTATACAGGTGACTCATTTATGTGGATGTGATAAATGATAAATTTTGGATTCCACCGCAAAATCAATGAGCAATATGGGGAGTAGCCTCCCATGCAAGGTCCCCCATACTTTCCATTGTTGGTTTGCTTGCATTGTTATTTACTGTGCTTGTTTTGTACCTTGTTTCTTGCATTCATATCTCACTAGACAGAGCTCTAAATTAAGTTTTGAACATGCAGTGTAGTGCGATAGCTCCATATATTATACACAATGTTCGTTTTTGAGGTTTAAGTGCGGATCAAATGTCTCAGTGTTGCATGGAAGCATGAGAGGACATCTTAAAATCTTGAACCGAGATCACATCTCAGTGATTCCATGATCTATTCTTGAAATTTCCGACGAGACAAATAATTCAGGATCGGCCTTGGCCCAAGTGCAAACAGTGCACTTGTCCAGGGCCAAATTGTTTTGGGGCACCAAATTTTTTTAGTAACCACTTCGCCTTATCCATTTGCAAATCGCGACAGTGCCAGTCCAATGCCCTTCCGTCGCAGCTTTCCTTATCGGCCTCTTGACCTCCGAAATGGTGGCAGAAATCGCTCAAAACTCGACTGAATTTTACAGAACCGGTCGCCGTCGTTCACCGCTGCAGTCCCTCTGTCGCAGCTCATTGGGCCTTTTGGGTACTCTTACTCCAAGCTTACAGTGAGTACTATACTAATATTTCACTAAAAATTGCCCATTTATATGTTTAATTGTTAAATATGTGATTAAAGTAAGTAACTTTGAGATACCCAGATTGTTAATTTCAGTACTTCTTGTTTTCCAGATTCAGAGGAAAGATGGGTATTTACTGGGTTTGAGATGTGAAGGACTAATAGAAGTTGTGTTTGTTAGTGGAATTTCTGTTTGTTTGAGATGTGACGGACTAAAAAGGTTGCTTTGGTGGGGAGTGTTCCCCATAACTGACCCATGGGTAAAATATTTGATTCTTTGGTAGCCTGATTAGTGAAAAACCTTACTTTTATAGCTTCTTCCAATTTTTTCAACATATTGGTCCCGCTAAGTTGATTATATCAAAATTTGAATGTTAGCTCACTATTTGGTGCTCCCTGATCTGAAGTTTTCAGGTTCTGCTGAAATTTCCTTTCTTGAAACTAACGACATCCTTGGGATACATTGTGAATTAGGCTGTAATGTGCTTCAAACTCAATTGAACTTGGTCACTGGCTTTTCTTGATCTTCACCAGGTGATGCATGGTTTTTAAATTCTCCAGAAGAATCGCTAGGATTCGTCCTTGCAGATGAAGGTTTCGATGTATGGGTAGGGAATGTGCGTGGAACACGTTGGAGTCATGGACACACATATCAGAAGAGAATTAAGCTTTATGCACTATTATAGGATTTTTGAGATTGGAGTTGGCAGGAATTGGCTCTATTTGATCTATCAGAAATCAAGCGCTGCATATATCCAACAACAAGCTCCAAAGTCTTTGTTGTTGGGCATTCACAGGTCTTACACCTCTTCATCTATTTCACATCTTCTTCCCTTGCTACTACTTTTGGTGTTTACTCAATTTATTCATGTTATTAGGGAACAATGATGTCTTTAGCTGCTCTCACCCAACCGGAGATAGCGAAATGGTTGAAGCGGCCGCTCTTTCCTGTTCAATACCATACTTGGAGCATTTCACTTCTAAATTTGCACTTAGAATGGCCAACATATATGTTGATCAGGTATTCCTTATCTTCTTCAAAGTATATCGTATGAATAGCTTCTGCAATGAAATTGATGCATGTATTCTTTTTATATGATTCTTTTTACTCAATGTTATGAGATTTTATTAGTAGTTATCTTGTATCTTTTGTATATTTTATTCAGTGAATTGGGTGTCAGCCTTTTGGATTCAATATGAGATGGCCATGTTGCATGCTTGGAGTGATTGTATATGATTTTGATTTTAATCGTCGGGTTTAGGTACTATGTCCCCCGGTTGTATGTTTTTCTTGAATTAATAATATAATATGGGCGTGAGGGCCTAGCCCCCCAACTTCGAATGGGTTCCAGCCCTCTTTAAATATGTTGGCGTATTGAATAAAGACACATTTTGAATGTTCAGCCCGAGCACAAAAAAACTCAGGACCAACCGTGTAATTTGGCCTTCTTTGGGTTCTTATTGCTGCTTTTGTTTCCAATTTTAGTAGATTAAAATGTGGCGATACCAGTAATATAAACTAACTATAACCAAATCCCACGTTGTGGCGTGGGAACACTAAAGTAGCGAAAAAGAAAACGAAAGGGGACCAACCAACGACTACAATTTGGGAATTGAGATACACTTGTGATCTTTGTGTTCAAAGTTCGTGGATTAAGAGATTCGGACCACTCAATTTTAATTTACAGTCTCTATATTTTAGTGACCCACTTCACAAAAACTTAAAAACTTGAACGGCTAAGATCTCACTCTCTCATAAATAGTTCAAATTTCTCGGTTTGTAGGTTTCGGACATAGATATCTGTAGTGGATTTCATATAATATGGTTTCATGAGGTGAGAATTTTGACACATGGTGTTGCTTTTTCCAAATTTCAATTTTTAGTGTCGTTGGTTGACCTAAGTTCTTACAACAACGCAATTGTCTCTACTCTCATTGAGTGAAAGAAGTTAGTAAATTTGGACTAAACCACAAGACGATACAATAATGAATAATTTGATATTGAACCCGTCTTATACATAAGCCAAACATAAACCCTCCCGCTAATATATAAGACGGCATATTATTTCATTGTAGTATTAGGGACAAATAATTCACAACTTAAGATATTTGTGAATATTACAAATATTCACTTAGCCAATAGAACTATTCATGACAAAAAATAAAAGAAACCAACAACAAAATAATCAACGAGTCATGAAATAGCATTGAGTCCCTCGATGATTGAAGTTGTGAAAGCATCCATTCGAGGCTTTGGTTGGACCAAGCCAACCTCAATGCCACCCGACATGTCTCTACTCTCACTGAGTGAAATGCCTGTCACACCATCAATTCCAATCTCCTCTATCTTTCTAGGCCTGCCCCATCCAAAATCTGTCTCATACAGATCCACCTTCCGCGACCTGAGAACCACGACTTGGAGCTCCGACCCGAACATCTCCTCCCACTCCGAAATCCACTTCTCTGCCCCTCCCAAAATGGCCTTGTCTAACTTCTTAATATAGTTTTTCCGATTGCCCTTGCCGCAACAACTCCATTTGCCCCTAGTAGCGCTTTCCTTGACACCACTGACCGGCCAAATCCAACACAATTACCAACATACATAACTGGTACTGGGTGACCCAAACGAGCTATCCCACCCGCAATAAACCCAAAATAATTTGGATCTTCGTCGCAACACTTGCTGTAGTGGTTACCATTTTCTTGTTTTCATATGGTGATAAATTTACCTTTTTTTATTATTATTTTTCTGCTTTTCACATGGTGCCAACACATCATTCCAAAAGCTGTGTGTTTCTTTTTCTTTCTTTGTCAAGCTTAGCAGCTCTCTCTCACTTGAGCTCCGAAGGCAGGGCCTCAGACTCTAACAATATCAATAGCCGATCTGTGCAAAAATTCACAGTTTTTCCTTAGTTAAGTAGGTAAAGGATGGCCAACTCCTCCATAATCCGTTAGAGAAGCACTTTTGGCTCTGCAACTTATGGCGCAGTGCTCGAAGTATTCTCCTCCTGCATTCTCCCTCAGAGCCTTGCGGCTTTCAACTCTTTTTGTTGTGGCCAATAAAACAACAAATACTACTGCCATCACCATCTCAGATAATTGAATATTTATGGGAGTCCTCAAGATCCGTTATCCTTCGAGAACGATGCGATCTGGGTCTCCAAGTTTGATGAGATTCTTCTGGATCTCTGGAATCCAGTTGTCAGGTACAAGTTTTTTTATCTCGTGACGACTACAGGTTGTTGTAAATTTCAATTCTCACTAGAATTTGACACGGTGGGAAAGAGATGAAAAAAATGAACATACCTAAGAACGGAAAAGGATCCTCTCTGGATCCTCTTTGTGGGTATCTGGAGATCCATCAATCACAGTCGTTCATAATATATCGTGCAGTCAGTTTTCGTTAGATACTATTTATATTCAATTTTAAATTTAAAATGATTTCTGACTGCACGATGTACGATGAACAATCGTAATTGATAGATCCCCAAAAAAGAGGATCCGGAGAGGATCATTTACCCCTAAGAATGATGTCATCTTGAGCCATTGTTTCAGGTCTAGATTTTGTGTAGCGTTTTCCATTTAGACGAGAGCTTCTCGTGCTGATAACGTATTGTAAAACAGGCAGTATGTGTGCAGTGAAATAAATTAAACAAGACACAATATTTACAAGGTTCCTCTACAGTCAGTATGACTGGAGTACGTCCTAAGAGCGGCAATGGTGCTTTTATTTATAATTTGGAATAATAAGAATACAAAAATAACTCTCACTATTTACTCTCTCTTTTCTTTTTTTTCTCTCTTCTTCCTTCCAATTTTGTGCAAGTGATCTCCTCCTCCTCATTCATTTTATAGGCAAGGGACACTATTCATGTGGGCCATCCACATTATTTATAACAATTTGTGAATATTACAAATATTCACTTAGCCAATAGAACTATTCATGACAAAAAATAAATGAAACCAACAACAAAATCACTAGTCATGAAATGGCGTTGAGTCCCTCGATGATTAAAGTTGTGAAAGCATCCATTCGAGGCTTTGGTAGGACCAAGCCAACCTCAATGCCACCCGACATGTCTCTACTCTCACTGAGTGAAATGCCTGTCACACCATCAATTCCAATCTCCTCTATCTTTCTAGGCCTGCCCCATCCAAAATCTGTCTCATACAGATCCACCTTCGGCGACCCGAGAACCACGACGTGGAGCTCCGACCCGAACATCTCCTCCCACTCCGAAATCCACTTCTCTGCCCCTCCCAAAATGGCCTTGTCTAACTTCTTAATAGTATTTCCGATTGCCTTTGCCGCAACAACAACTCCATTTGCCCCTAGTAGCGCTTTCCTTGACGCCACTGACCGGCCAAATCCAACACAATTACCGACATACGTAGCTGGTACTGGATCACCCAAACGAGTTACCCCGCCCGCAATAAACCCAAAATAATTTGGATCTTCATCGCAACACTTGCTGTAGTTGTTATAATTTACTTGGGTTTTAAGCAAACAAACCCATATAAATGCACACGTTAGGACATATGGTGATAAATGTACCGGACGCGACTCATTTCCCTTGTTGCATAGCTCAATAATCCAATTCTTGATGCTCTCCATTTTGGCCAAGTCAATCAAAAATGTTGCCCGAATCATGTTTTTCGGTTGCCCGTTAACAATGGCATTCTTATTAGCACCTAGAACCACTCCTTGCGAAGAAATTCGCTTCCACCACTCCTTCAAGAAGATACCCTCGAGACCAAGTGCATCAACAATAGCCGTACGATCATAGTAGGGCACTGATTGTACGGCTATGTTTGACGAGTCTCCGAGACGGGAAAATGAGGCCCAAGCCTTGATGAAATTGTTAAAGGTCCTCTCATCACCAACAACTTGGTGGTACGCAAGCCCAATGCAAATCCCACAATTTGGGAACACTGTAATTTGAGCACTTAACAAAGAAATATTTGCTGCTCGTGCCTCGTTACTACGATGTGGTATACTACCTGTCGACGCTAGCTCGGGCACAAGTGTGTGAAACTCTACCGCATCTCTTTGGGAATTGCTCGAGAGATACTCAAAGTCCCCGTCCGACTCAGCGACAGTCAATGACACCGAGTCGCCTTGCGTGTAGAGGAGCTCGGGCTTTTCGGGATGAGGCCGGGCCAGTAGGGTTCCGGCGAAAGGGTAAAATTGTTGGAGAGCGAGGGAGAGAGAGTGCTTGATGTTTGGGAGGGCGGTGGAAGTGAAATGGGAAGTGGGAAATGGGAAGTCATAGAAGAAAAGAGGTAGGCTCGGAGAGAAGAAGAGCCATGGTATGTCAAGGAAGGTTAGAGGGAGAGAGGGTTTTGGAGCAGCTGATGAGTTTGGTGGGGGAGATACTTGGCATTTCTCAAGAAGTTTGGGTTTGGAGAGTCTTGCCATGGATGAGAAAAAGAGGAGAGGAAGATAACACAGGAGTGGTGAGCAGAAAGCTAAACTGTTATTGTGACGAATGAAAGATGTTGCATAATTGCATTTGATATAGAGACTAGAGAGTGCGTGGTCAGCTTTATCACAAGAGTAATGTTATTCATACCATATTTTTATATCACATTTATATACCACTTTAGGTGGTATCTGATGTGAACAGCCACGTCATTTGAAAAATTTGCAAAACCCAAGAAAAGAAAGGAGAAAGACTTCTATTATACCACAATCATCATTTAATTAACTAGTTTTTCTTAATTATTAGTTTATTAAATAATGAACTAAATTTAAAAATATGATTAATTCAAATGATATGGCTATCTACATCAAATACCACCTAAAATGATATAAAAATGTGGTACAAAAATATGGTATGAATAATATTGTTTTTCTCACAATCAACTGTTATATCTTCAAAATTGTTTTAAAAAGTATTTAGCGGTAAGCGGGAAGTTTAATAAGGGGAAATGATACACACTTTTTTAGTCTTTTATTATTTTATTGGATAATGTTAGAAGATCAAAATTTTAAATTAAATTTATAAAACGTATGATGTGTCACTAATAGAAAATAAACCCGCAATACTTAAATAATAATTCAACAAATCAACAACTACATCTTTTGGTTTACATATTTAGTTTAAAATTTTGATCTTCTTAGCATAAGGATGGTCTACCTAACATTATTCTTACTAGTAGTTTTATTTATTCAATTCGATAATCAAAAATAAAAAAAATAATGTATCATATTTGATTTTAAAAATTTAAACTCCCTAGCGTAAAGAATATTTATCTAGTACTATCCTTACTAGTAATTTTATTTATTCAATTCTAATAATAATAATAATAAAAGGTATCAAATGTTAAAAAGAACGCGTGAAGCTCACTTTTTTAATAAATTCTCTAATTATTTGGGAAAAAGAGAAAAAAAAAAAACTTTTTTGCAACTAATATACTATTTTAATGACATCAATCCAATAAATATTTGTTGTGCGTTAAAAAGTGAATCATCCGTCCATTTTTAGTCTGTAAAATAAAATAGATTTATGAATTTATGGACCCGAGGAACACGTGATTGCATAGACTATTTGTTGCATGAAAAACATGGTATATTTAGACCCTTTTTTATTTCTTAAAACCTTTGCAACTAGTCACTACGTCTGGATCTCATTATATTTGGTTTTGAAGACGGAAATTTTCAAAGTGAATGTGGTAGGGGTGTATTCAGTTCTATTGGGTTTGGTAAAATTGAAAATCAAACTGAAATTACTGTTTGATTTGGTTTATTTTTTTTAATTTTATTCGGTTCGGTTTCAATTCAGTTTCAATTTTTCCGATTTGGTTTCGATTTTTTTACTGAAAATTTATTTATCCAGATTCCATTTCTAGAACAGAAATTTAAATAAAATCAAAACAAAAGTTAAATCCATCCCTGACAATATTAATAGAGCCAACTGCAGCTAGGAATTGAAATGTATATACATACGATTAAAAACTGAAATGAATTCAAGAACACAACTAAATCCTATCACAACAGCACCACATCAACCTTCTGGTATTTTTAAATAAAAATTTAAATTTTGAAATAAAATTATAAAAAATAAAAAAAATAAAAATAAAAATAAAAACTGAAAGAAACGAGAAGATGAAAGAAAAGGGTTGTTCGGCCGCGATTGGGACTGAGAGGCTCCCGGCCGGCCCACAAATGGTGCGGAAGCAGGTTTAGATCGTGGATACATCCTAATAAACTTTTTTAAAATTCTAATTGAATACACCTGAATTTTTAAACATTTTAATAAACTATCTTAAAATCCTGATTAAGTACACATTAAATTTTAGAAAATCACTTAAAATTTTAATTGAATACACTTAGATTCATTAAAAGAATTAAAATCGCTCAAAATCTTAATTAAATACAACCCCTAAAAAGGAAGGAAGAAGTCTGACAAAAAAAAGAAAGAAGAAGAAGAAACGGCAAGAGAAGAAAAGAAAATGATGTGTAAGTGGAGAGAGGAACGACACAATGCCTTATGCCAGAGAGAAGAAAGAGAGAAATGAAAAGGGTTTAGTTTAGTAGTGATGGGCTATTGGGCCATTTTATGGCTTGGCTTGAGCTAACATTTGGGCTTAAAATAAAATGAACATAATTGGATTTCATAACTAAATATTTAACATAAATAAAAAAAGAATTGTTATTAGCATTTCAAAAATCTTATTCTACATTCTAAATTTTCTATATTAAGAAAGAAAAATACAGTTATGAAGAGTGTAGAATGAGATTTTTGGAGTACCAATAACAATTCCCTAAAAAAATAAACATATTTAATTCAATTCGGTTCAGTTTCAAAAAAACAAAAACTGAAACTGAACCAATTAATTTTGGTTCGGGGTTCCATATTCTATTTGGTTTTTTTTCGGTTTGATTTTTTTCAATTTTGGTTTGGTTTTTTTTTGTTTCGATTTTTGAACCCACCCCTAGAATGTGACCCTTTTTGTTTTTGTTTTTGTTTTGGTTTTATCAGATATTTTGTGATGGACTGCAGTATTTTTGACCAAGTTTTGTACAAGTACAGGAGACAGGAAATTATTTTGCACCTACAAAAGGTCTATCTTTGGAAAGATAATTT